CAAATTTGGGTTAAAAAAGTAACCCCAAATCCACATTTTTCCATGTTTAAAAGGAAACACCACTTTCTCTCTCTATATATATGTGTGTGTGTGTGTGTAAATATGTGTGTGTGTATATGTGTGTATGTGTATATATATATGTGTGTGTGTGTAAATATATATGTGTGTTTGTGTATCTGTGCGTGTGTGTGTGTATATATATATGTATGTATATATGTATATTTGTGGTGTTTCCTTTTAATCACTGGAAAATATGGATTTGGTGCAACTTTTTTTTTTAACCAAAAATTTGGAATTTTTTTAAATCGGAGAAAAAGCAGGATCCCTGCTGAATACCTATTCCTCTCCATCCTTGCCCAGTCTTTTCTGTTCAGGTTGCAGGTTCTGCTTGAGAAAAACCACTTGCTTATTCTTTGCTTCTACTAACTACCTACTGCTGGCCTGGGCCTGGGCCTCAGGTGGGGGACCTTACACTCTGCAGAGAAACATATGCCGATGTCCCAGAGTCCCTATAGGTACTTCACCACTTCTCTGTCTCTGTTCTCACCTTCTGTCCTCAAAGTTGCTTGAAACATGAATAAAGGGAGCTGGGTTGAGAGTGGTGGAGACAAAGAACAGACTTGTGTTGTGCAATACAGAGTACCCCCTCCATACACAACACAGCTCCCCGCCTTTGTGCTAGCTCCTCCAGAACTAACTGTGGTACCTGCTTGAGGCAGGGCTGCCATCAATGCCCATGCACACAGAAAGGTTCATCGTTGCCCATGCATCGTTGCCCATGCATCGTTGCCCATGCATACAGAAAGGTTCATTGTTGCCCATGCATCATTGCCCATGCACACAGAAAGGTTCATTGCCCATGCATCATTGCCCATGCATCGTTGCCCATGCACACAGAAAAGTTCATTGTTGCCCATGCATCATTGCCCATGCACACAGAAAGGTTCATTGTTGCCCATGTATCATTGCCCATGCACACAGAAAGGTTCATCGTTGCCCATGCATCATTGCCCATGCATCGTTGCCCATGCACACAGAAAGGTTCATCGTTGACCATGCATCATTGCCCATGCACACAGAAAGGTTCGTTGCCCATGCATCGTTGCCCATCCACACAGAAAAGTTCATCACTGCCCATGCATCATTGCCCATGCATCATTGTCCGTGCACACAGAAAGGTTCATCATTGCCCATGCATCGTTGTCCATGCACACAGAAAGGTTAGCAAAGGTAGTACCAACCGAAGTGGCTCCAGCCCTCCCTCTCTGTGATCCCACAGGCCTCGTGTTGGAGGGCTATGCTGCGTGGGGGCAGAGGCAGGTCAGACTCCAGGGTGGTTTTCAGCTCACCGTATACAAAGCTTCTCCTCCTGCAGCCAGTTTGATATTTTTGGGAGTTGTGACAAAGGTGAAAATCATAACTATCTGTGTCCTGTCCTGGCATGCTCAGTCTCTTCTGTGAGGCTCTTCCTGAGGGCAGCAACCTGGTTGGATATTAGGAAAAGCTTTCTCACGGGGGGGGCGGTGAAGCACTGTATAGAAGTGCCCCAAGGAGCCGAAGAGACGTGGGGGCCTTTCCCGAGCGCGCGGGTGCAAGATCAAGCCCACAACAGCTTGATGACTGATTATTATGATCATCACGTCTTTTCCCTTCTCTCTCTCCCAGGTAAATTTTATTCTTTTTATCAATATTATCCGAGTCTTAGCAACCAAGCTGCGGGAAACCAATGCAGGGCGGTGCGATACCAAGCAACAATACAGGTGAGTCGCGCTTCTCCTCTGACAGAAGATGCCCTGGGGTGAGACGCCTGGGGGAAGACCTGGAGTCTCCTGCCCACACACCCAGCATGCACTGGGGCTGCCTCAGTCTTCCCTACTACCCTGCGTGATAAAACCCGTCCTGTGCCCTCTTTTTCCCTCCCAGCCCTTGTCTGCTCGGGAAGTGGATCTGCTATTCTCTCGGTACAGCGCCTAGCACATGTGGGTCCCAATCCAAGTGGTGTCACTGAATAAAAGCAAGCGCTCGCTGCCGGGCGGGGCTGGCTTGCATAGAGGCAGCCCATTTATGCTGCTGCATCCCATCGCACATTGGTCCTTCCTTTTTTTTTTTCTTGTTTTTCCTTTCCCCTGTTTATGAAACCTGGGGCCTCACTTTAAATCAGCTTCCCAAACACCGCTTGCTGCACGGCAGCAGGCTTTCTAACCCAGCTGGCAACGTTGTGTGTTACGGTACTTCCCCCCCTTCCCTGATAGCTCGAATTGGACTACAAAGGCAAAATCACCGAGGCCCGGCCCCTGCTACAGAGCTCGGCAGGGCTTGTCTTGGCTCAGGCTGAAATGCTTCGCTCCAAAACAGTCCACAGGGGAGCGAGAGAAATAATCCAGGGCCGTGTCAGGGCAAAACGCGAGGTCACGGCTACCATCGCGCTCAGCAAAGAGAGTTCAAGAGCGAGAGGTTTTATTTGCAAGCGGGGCCTGGAATCTGGCTGGAAAAGGCAAAGGTTTGTTTTGCTGCCTTGTCAGAGCTGTGATTTATCTATTTATTTCTCAGGGGTTGAGGCTTGCAATTAATTAAGGCTTGGACAGGCCCAACTGTTTTTATTTGCGAAGCCCCGCCGTGATTGTCAGCTGGACGCCGAACGCGGCCAGGCCTCCTGGCAGCCGTGCCCTCCTCTCCCTCACTAATTGCCTCCATTTGGTGACTGCCGTAACAATTGGCAGGGACTCGCACCCCTCGCACAGCATCACTTCCAGGCAGGGCTGGTCCCCGCGGGGACAGCTGATATGAACCCAGCCAAATGCGAAGGGCCTGGAGGCTGAGATGCAGCTGCTTCTCCCCTGGCACAGCCCGAGGACGCTTGCTAGATGCAGAGATGTGCCAGCAGCACCGCTCCATGGCACGTCCCGGGAGTCCACCCCCTGGGCTGACCAGCGTCCGGACGGCTTTGCAAGCCTTCTCCTTGCCCCCCTCCACCAGCTATGCTCGTGCTCCGAGAGACCCATCTTTTTTGCCCTACCTGGACATCAGCCATTTATATTTAGATATAAAGCAGAACCGCCCTCTGCCTGAAGAAGGGCATCGGTGCCCAAAAGTTTGCAAAGAACAATTTTTTTCCCCCCCCCCAACGATTTAGTGGGTCTAATAAAAGTTATCACCTCTGCCCAAAGAACCTGATCTGCCTTTAGTTACTAAGGACCTTAGTGCTAGATGGACAGGCCTGGAGACTGGACCCCACCATGAGCCATGTCATGGGCAGCAAAGCTTCTGCTCAGACCTGTTCTACCAACTTGGGCCAAAAACAGGGATCTTTAAGGCTGAGACGTTCATCTATTCTCTTGACTTCCTCCATGCCTTTCTTTTTCCCCCCGCAGGAAGCTGCTGAAATCTACCCTCGTCCTTATGCCTCTGTTCGGCGTTCACTACATAGTTTTCATGGCAATGCCATACACAGACGTGTCAGGGATACTTTGGCAAGTTCAAATGCACTATGAAATGCTGTTCAACTCTTTCCAGGTACGATATGCTCCTCAACTTTCTGGGCAGGCTAAGGGCAAAGTTATGGTGCTGTGTGGGAAGGGAAGTAGACACCCGGTGCTTCCTATTTGGTGCATTTGCTCCTCAACATGATTTTCCTAGTGTGGGTAAATTGTACTCAACTGAGGATACATCAATGTAGCTCTGTTAGCTTGAACAATGAGGGAAGACCTGAGCAATGCAGATAGACTCAAGCTGGGGATGTGGACAGAAAATAGACAGTAGGAGGCTGCGAGATAAATATGACTTTTTTTGTTGTTGTTTCTTTGTTTTTTGCAGGGATTTTTTGTGGCCATCATATACTGTTTTTGCAATGGAGAGGTGAGTGTCTTCGCTTCTTCATGTTCCCCATTCTTTGTAAGTTGATCCCAGATATCTACAGCCCAGAGCCAGGAGGAGCCGGGTGACATGGCTCCGGGGGCTGGATTTGGCCCATAAAACAACACCAGTGATCTAAGGTGTAAACCTTACAGTCAAGTCTATGCAGGGATACTTAGGGACATGGAGAGAAATCAACTAAAAGGCCATGAAAGCTTCATGGAGAGATGTTGGTTTTGATCTGATAGCGACTCGCATGTGGCATGTGCCCCGCAGGAAGGCTGCGAAACTAAGCTCTGCATTATGGACTGAGTGATGAGCTTGTGTGGGGGGAACGACTGGGGATTTACAACTGGAGAAGGAGTTGTTTGAAAGAGCAGCTTGCTAGGCCGCTTGAGAGAGATTTTGCAGTGAAGCTGGTGGCTGTGCTGGTTTGCAGCTCTGCAGATATCAGCCAGAAAGAGGTAGGCTAGGCAGGAGACCAAGAGGGGAAGGAAAGTCATGTTCCACACAGGGAGAGAGGGATAAATAATCTCAATTATGGATCGATACAGGGCCAGCTCGTGGAAAAGGTGTAGCTATGCATAGCACTGCAGGAGTTATTCACATCATCAGACCATTGCCAGTCCATGCCAGGCTGCCCATTGACCCAGTCCGTCGGGAAATAGCTCACGCAATTGAGTTTCCACCCTCTGAGCACCAAATGTACCCAGCAGCAGAAGGAGATGTTGCACAGTGGCCAACCTAAATATAACCTTGCCCACAATTTCATCCAATTTATTGTAATGATTTCCCTAGCTAGTTCTCCCAGCTAACACCACCTCTTTCAGAAACACCTGCGCCCTGTTATCCCCTACCATTCATTTCTTCATTCCTGACTAATCATTGAAGCATAGACAATGAGGGCTGGAAGGGAGCTCAGGAGTCACATCTAGTCCAACC